GCAGGCAATACGATTGTAATGGCTTGGGATATTTGGAGCATCGTTTTGGACCTTATGGGATTCCTGCGGCTTTCATTAATGGGTAACTCTGCATTAATTTTCCTAAAATTTCCACTTCTTTATCAATGGATGCAGACCGATTGGATCTCCGGCGCCTATGAGCTTTCGGCAGGCTGCCCCTGTCGCCAGTATGACTCTTTTATTTTGTCTCGAACTCTGACCAAAAAGGCGTTTTGCTCAGCTGCGGCGTACTGCTGGGAATTCGGGTGTGGCCCGCGAATGCCAACCGACGGTGCCCCTATCTCCTCCTAACCCGCGACGTGCTGGTGGTTTGCCTCCGGCGAGGTAGTTCTGTAAGCCTCCTGAATTTATGGCTATCTTTGATTGACTATCTGCTTCCTGGACGGGCCAGTCGGATATTAGATTGTGTTGTCCAAAGCCGCCATCCTTTTCTAGCAAGAAGTGTCCCTGTGGAAGCAGCGGTAGATATTGCGCTCCTGAGATCCCTCGCCTTTCGCCACGCCAGAGGGTCAATTTCCCTGAATATCTGGCTTCCGAATTTGGCGTATGCTATATGTGCTTTGAATATCTGGACTTCCTCAAAGTGGCTTAATGACGGTACTCGGACAAGAGACTAAACGTGTGGCGGCCGCGACCCGGCTACGTGTCACACCTTGACTGGGCCGGAATGTGAGGCACTTATATCTGACACTCTCTCTAATCGTGGCGTGTATCGATGTATCTCTTACTCAATAACACGAAAGTGCCTCCGTCGAAAGCGTGCGCTAAGATCGCGAATCTGAGAGACACTGCGGGCAATTTCTATTTGCAGAAAGAAGTTAGCGACAAAACGGTTCTGGGGCTCCATTATATGTTTGCTAAGGTTTTGGAGCTGACTGTGCCGGCCGGTTTCGGTGGGGGGTTGCGGTTTCATGCGCGTCATCTCCTATGTGGCAGAGGCCGTTCGTGCTGTTTGACTTGGGAAGTGGCTCCATAATAGGGCTCGGCTTCGGACGGTACTGTTTTCTGGCGAAATATGGGACAGGATTCTGGACTATTTCTGGGTTGGGCGGAGTTGTCTTCCGTATCACTGTGGTAAGTTCTCCGGGAGGGATGCGCGGATGCTCTACACGGCCGAGTCCTCCACGCATGGAATAAATTTGAGAGAGATGGCTAACTCAGAAAATTGATATTTTTGAATGATGGTGGATTGGCAAACTAGAAGCTTTGCGAATTTGGACCATCCTTCTTTAGCGAGTGGAACTCTAAATTTGAGGGCTGCTTTGTGTGGGGGATTTTCCTGACAGGATAGATCCGTTGTGAGGGCACAGCGGGAGCAGGGTCTACAGTATCTTTGAAACGGCTCTATGCGGACCGTATCTTTTGCTACTACACGTATCCCGTGTTGGTCAAGGGCGACTGGGTTCTGAATTAGATACCATATGCCGATTGGCACCAACTAATGTATTCGCCCCTTGGCTTATAGAGAGAATTCTCAACCTGGAAGTATGAGTTTTCTGTGGTCTATCCAATTTAGAGCCTGCACCCACCGGAGAGGACATTTTGGAGTGGCGAGTTACTCTCAGTGACACGCGAGCATGACACGAGACTTAATTTTGCTGTCGCTCGGCGTGGGCTGCCGAAGTCCTCACCGTACAACAGTGGGGCATGTCATCTGGACGAAGGACAGGCGCAGGCGAGAGGTTCCAGTGATGGCAGCTGGCATTCCTCTACATACTGAATGATCTGTGTTGGCCAAATGGGGGTTTGCTTTGGCCACTATAGGAGAAAAATGAGTAAAGGGATGATAGGTGAGTATGGAATTTACCGTTGTTTGATGGCCCAGGTGGGGTGAAGATGGAAGAGAGATTACTTAATTAGAGAGGAGATTGATTGAAGGGGCTGATCATCATATTCTCGCCAGGACTAAGATGCTTGGCATGGGCAGACTTTATTGCTATACGTCGTATACCAAATTTATCGTCGGTCCGCAATGACAATATATTCATGGAGACCTTGGCACCGTCGAGCGGTGATAGCCGGCTAATGTGTTGGCTAGTCGCTCCCCGAAGACTTCTATGCTATTCCGGCGATATGGGAGAAGGTCGCATACACTCTCATGTCCTTATGGACTGTTATCAGTTCACGTATTGGTGCACCCCCCCTCCTGGAGAGGGTTAAATGAGATGTTGATCTTTTGCTTCGGTGAGGCCCCAATGCGGTAGGCGTGGACTGGGGTCGTGAGCGCGGGACCACGACGGCAAGCTAACTTTTTGCGCCGGCAGGATTTGTTGAGCAGTGGGCTGTCACGAGGGCCGAGATCCTTGCGGGCCTTGCCATGGGAGTGCGACGGAGGACTGGATGCTCATCCGGACTAGGGATCATTGTTGAGGGAGATTGCCCTTAATGCCATAACCTGGCATACCGTGTATGCTTTCAATCGCCTGAATAAACTTCATTGCGGACGACGGGGTAGAATTCGACCTTTCTTCCTCCTGGAGTTCCGCCAGGTCCTTTTTTCAGCATGTCCGAGGCAGGTAACCAACCCGCTGCTCCATATCGACTTTGAGAGCCATCATCCCAGCACTCATAGTAGAGTGTTGAAAATTACAGATAATCTCTTGCGCCATGAGCCCATGATTGGAGATGGATCTTCCCGGGACAAAGGCCCCTTGTTCCTCACCAATAATGCTGGAGAGAACCGGCTTCATTCTGTGAACCAAAACCTTTGCCACCACTTTATAAAAAGTTTGACATAGACTAATTGGCCGGAATTTGGAAGGATTGTCAGCATTTGGGACTTTAGGAATAAGTATTATAAGGGTCTCTTTCCACCTCTCATCCATGGAACCCGAGACAAAGAACTCACGGACCGCATCAAGCACCTCCATCTTAATTATTTGCCAATAGAACTTGAGAAAGGACGCCGTAATCCCATCGCGCCCAGGAGCCCGATTGGAACCCATGGTGTGCACCGCACGCCAGATCTCCTCCTCCGTAACAGCAGCAGTGAGTAATGGCAGAAATAAATCCGGGACTTTGTCATTATCCCGAAAATCAGGCCACCCCGAAATGCAAGCCTGCCGATCCTTCCACTTGTCCCTGAAGAAGGTCATAAAAGACTCCTGAATTGCCCGCTGATCGGACACCGGTTGGTCACTACCCGGACTGGCGAGAACAATCCGATTATCCCGCCTCCTACCCGTGGCAGCCATATGAAAAAAGTGGGAATTAGCATCACCATGTTCAATCCACCGCACCTTCGCTCGTTGACGCCACCAAATGGTGAGTCTAGCCAGAGTATCATTTAGCTCACCCACACACTTCCGTAGTTCCTGCTCCAATTCCGGGCTGAGGCCGCCCGGGGTGCAATCCAAATTCTGCAGATCAATGATCCTCCTCTCCAATTCAGCCTTGCGGCGGTGCAGGTCCAGCGAGCGCTGTCGGCTCCAATGAAACAGAGCCCGCAACGTACGATGGCACTTACGGTTAAGAATATCCGCCGGGGAGCCACGGTCCAATCTATGCCAATTCTTCCAGACAATGCGCCATGAAGCCGGATAAGTAGTCCAAACATCCTCAAACCGCACCCACCTCTCCGGCCTCGTTGTCCCGGTTGAGCCCAACGTGAGGAGTAACGGGGTATGGTCCGAGGCAATACGTCCAAGATGACGCACCAAAGCAAACGGAGCAGAGCGAAGCCCCTCAGAATTCAGGAGAATCCTGTCCAGTCGCACCCAAATTCGGCTATTGCCCTCCTTATTATTGCACCACGTGTATTGAGGCCCAACGAAGCCAATGTCGTGGAGATCGTTATGGCTCATGAAGTCGGTCATCTCGATGACCCCAGCAGTCGGGGTGACCCTCTTACCCCCTTTCTTCTCCGATTGGGAGAGGCAACAGTTGAAATCCCCCCCCACGAGCATCGGCGTGGAGGGATCGCAGTGAGCTCCAATATGATCCCACAAGCAACGTCGACGAAGGTAGTCCTTATTCCCATAGACCACTGCGACCATCCAACTTGGGCACCCAGGAAAAGTGACAGAACCAATCACAACCTGCTCATCAGCAAACCGCAACTCAAACTTGATTAAATCCTTGCGCCAAAGCACAAGGATCCCCCCGGACTTACCACACGCCGGAAAATGGTAAAAGTCCCAGCTGGTTCCCACGATGCGGTCGACACCCGCCCTATCCAAAGTCTCCACCTTGGTCTCGACCAAGCCAATGAAGTGCACATCATTGTCACTTACAAGGTGACGCAGGTAATTTCCCGTGCACTTCTTACGGGCACCCCTGCAGTTCCAAAAGAGGGTCGTAGACATTAAACACCTATAGGGGAAGCGTCCCCGCCGCACATAGGTGTGTTGCCATCCTTCCTCCGTTTACGAGGAGCCTCCTCAATAGGGCCCAATGCCTTTAATTCCTTGTCGAAGTGGGCCTTGGACGCCCCAAGCTTCGGTCGAGCCGGCCTTGCCCCCGCCGAGAACAAGAGTGGCGGTGTAAGACCCGGCCGTCGGTCCCCTTTACTTGGCCTAAAATTCTCCTTCATACGAACTGCATGCGGTTCCTTGATCTCAGTTAAATTAACTTGTCTCGGGATATTCTCTCCCAGCGGCCCCGTCGCCGTGGGAGCCACCTTCTTCGGCTGCTTCCTCCCCTTCCGTGGGGGGACCAAGCTCCAGGGCCCAAAAAGTTTTTCATCTTCAGAAAGACCCATCTGCTCACTGCCTCCCGACTCACACACCGCGGCAGGCGGTGACAGCCCCGATGAGTCCTTCATACGATCAGTCTTCGATCCCCCACTGACTGGGGAACGAGTCGAACCCCCCACCGTTGGCGCCGGAGTAATCGTACCAACCACAGCCCCGGCTAAACTGGCACTCGACTTGCCACTGCTCCCCGAGCTGGATCCACCATCCTGCCTCGGCACAGGCGCTGATCCACGCGCCAAGTCGGCAGACAAAACACCCGAGCTGGTGGGACGCTTGGGGAACACGGAATCCCTCCGGTGCCGCAACCCTTCCACACTCAGAGCATGAACCCTCATACCCACGCGCTGATAGGAAGCGGCCCCTCCACCCGTTGATTCCAAATCCCACTCTGCAATTTCAAAGCACAAATCCAATCTCACATAAAAAATACGGGCGTATTCGCCGTCACCCGAGTGCCCGTCTGCCGATCAATCCCAAAGGGGCTACCTAACATGGAGGCCAAATCGGATCAAGTTCTCTTGATCCACAATAAAATTGAAGTGGTAATTGTGCGGAGCGGATCCAAAACATGGGCGATGACAGACCCCCAAAAGAAAACTAGGGAGAATTCCGTGGAGTCACCGGTCCAAGCCAACAGAATTGCACTCGAAAAACCGAGGTCCCACACACAAACACGCCATCCCTGGCCTCGATGGATTCGAAAGGTATCACGCAAAAACAATCCGTCCAATAGTCTGAGATTTGGACAGTCGCCAAACTCTCTCCCCATTGCCGTTTCAATTCGGTTCTCCAGCACAAAAAAGGCGAAACTCGGCCAGGCACCTTTGCCACGACGGCATTGTTCGAGCAGCGCCATGCGCGTTGCCAACAGCCAGCTTAAGAATCCACGCAACATCCGTTCGCGAGTAAACTGGCCAACTCCTTCACGCACGTTCGCATGAGTCACCTAATGTTGCTGAGGGACGCTTCCGACGTTTAGTGGTCGTGGACTGAGGTGTCGCTGCCCTTTGCTCCCCCAAAAGACCCCTCACCAAAAGGTTCAGGAGGAATTATCCCGAACACCTCTGCGGGCGTTCACTGCAACGTGCTCCTGCCGCCCTCAGTAGGTGGACGTTCACGCCTACAGTGGCTCTAGCACACCACTAACAGGCCCCTCATGAATCCCATTTACACACAATCATTATCATCCGCCCACAAGGAAGAGCAACTCCAGTAAAGCTGATCGAGGCAACTCAACTCCATGCAACCAAATCCATATCATTATCCATCTCGGCATCCGCATTGGCCCACAGTGCCGACTGCCCATCCTGTGACCGCAAATCGGCACACGGGTCCCTCCGCCGCAAGTAGCCGCAGCCCCGCCTTGGCTGCCACCAAACCCGTCGAGGCCTTTCGAAATCCTGGCCGCGCTATCCACCTCAAGGTCGGTCGCCTTCAGCTTGCACCTCAGCCTCACGGGCGCTTAAATCCCCGCCAGCGTCCTCATTTTTTGACTCTATGACTCTGATACTTTCTTTTTATAGTATTATAACCTGCACCGCGGGTTTGCTCCCGGTCCCGACCTAGCACCCACAGCATCCGGCCGTCAGCCCATGACTTACTCCAGCCGTTTCTCCCGATCGAGACCCCCTTGGCCCCGCCGCGAAGCTTGTCCCCAGCCCAGCCTTGCCACCTGAGGGGTTTTTTGCCAGCAGGCTTGCCCGTCCCGCCTTGCTTGCGACTAACCATCCACATACCTCTTGCCATCCGCCGGACCCCAGATGCCGACCGCCGCCTATCCCGATCACCACCTCCCGAACCTCACCACCACCCCCGCCGGAGCGGGGAGGAAGACCGCCTGTCCCCCCCCCCCCTCCCGCCATGCCCAAGCGTTTCTCCTCTCTAAAACACTCTAGTGAGAGAAACAAGTGGTGAAAAATGAAGAACCCCCCCCCCCAAAGTTTTTGGGTTCCTGAAGAGTTGCATTTTGACATTGATTAATAAAGAGAAAAGTACAAACAAGTATGGAAAAACACTATCTGCCTTC